AGGAGGAGGAGGAGGAGCAAGAGGAGGAGGAGCAGGAGGAGGAGGAGGAGGAGGATTGGCCATGTTGGTAGGGGTCAGCACTCGGCGAGTGCTGATCCCTACCCTAGCGTCGTTCTGACGTTTACTTCATGTTTGTAACTAGTGCAACCCATGGCCCTGCCACACGGTCGTAAGGTGGGCAAACTGAACTGGTGCGAATCCCACAGCCCTGCCACACGCTCGTGATTGCGGAAGCTGGTGTGGCGAGACCATCATGGCCATGCTCAGCGTTTTTGATGCTGTTGCTGACCAACATGATATGATAACAACTTCGATCCCCGCAACTTTCCAGGTGATTATCAAGTTCGACCCCCGCGCCTTCCCCACAGATAAATCCCTGTGGGCGGGCATAAAAAATAGAGGGGGGAAAAGCGGGGGGCACCTTTATTATCACCCCTTCGGGGTTAGCCTCAAGATTGCCCAAGACGGCCCAAGAGGCCCTCACGAGACCTCCAAGACGGCCAAAGAGGCCTCCAAGAGGTCCTCCAGGAAGGCCCGAAGAGGCCAAAATCGTTGATTTACGTTGGGTTTTTGAAAGATTTTGGCATTTGCGCCTTTTCGGCTTTCCGACGGCCCAAGACGGCCCAAGAGGCCCCGAAGATCGCCCAAGAGGCTTCCAAGATGGCCCCATGACGGCCCAAGAGGCTCCCACGACGGCCCCAAGAGGGCCCGAAGACGGCCCAAGAGGCCTCCAAGACACCCACGATGGCCTCCAAGACGCCCAAGATGGCCTCCAAGACGGCCCCGAAGCGCCCCAAGAGGGCCCCAAGTCGGCCCAGAAAGGCCCCCAAGACGGCTCCCGACGGCGTCAGACGTGCCAGGAACCCACCAAGATGGCCGAAGTTGGCTCGAAGCTGGCCCAAGACGGCCCAAGAGGCCCCCAAGAGGGCCTCCAGGAAGGCTAGAAGAAGCCAAAAACCTTGATTTTCTTAAGGTTCTCACGTTTGGACATTTGCTTATTTTCGGCCTTCCGACGGCCCGAGATGGCCCAAGATCCCCCGAAGATCACCGAAAGATCGCCCAAGAGGCCTCCAAGATGGCCCCAGAACGGCCCAAGAAGACCCCAAGACGGCCCCAAGAGGCCCCCAAGACGGCACAGGAGGCCTTTAAGACGCCCAAGGTGGCATCCAAGACGGCCCTGGGGTATTCCAAGAGGGCCCCAAATCGGCCCAGAAAGGCCCCCCAAACGGCTTCCGACGGACCAGGAGCCCACCAAGATGGCCGAACATGGCCCTAAGATGGCCCAAGACGGCCCAAGAGGCCTCCAAGAGGGCCTCCAGGAAGACCCGAAACGGCCAAAATCATTGATTTCCATTGGTGTTTGAAGGATTGTGGCATTTGCTTCTTTTCGGCCTTCAGACGGCCCGAGACGGCCCAAGTGCCCCCAAAGATCGCCCAAGAGGCCCAAGACACGGCCCCAAGAGGCACGCAAGACGGCCCGAGAGGTCTCCACGACGCTCAAGATGGCCTCCAAGACGGCTCAAGAGCCCTCCAAGACGTCCTCCAAGAAGGCCCGAAAGGGTCAAAATGGCCTCCAGGTGGCCAAGATGACCTTCAAGATGCCCACGTGTTCCCCGAAGGCTTTCCAAACCGATTCGGGGAACAGGGGTGCCTGGCGTGCTGAACTTCTTACGGTTTTGGTTTTGGTTCTTTTCCAAAAGAACTCTCCCAGTGGGCTCCGGCGCGTCCCGCCGGGGTCCCGGGAGGATTCCGAAAGATCTTCCAGAGGTGGTTGCAAAGGGTTTTTCCGTTCCAGACGGCTCCAAGATGGCCTCCAGGATGCCTCCAAGACGGCCAAGATGCCCTCCGAGACGGCTAACATGGCCCCAAGATGCCTCCAAGACGGTCCAAGAGGCACCCAATCCGGCCTAAGATAGCCTCAAGATGGCCCAAGACGGCCCAAGAGGCCCTCAAGAGGCCTCCAAGACGGCCCAAGAGGCCTCCAAGAGGTCCTCCAGATGGCCCAAGACGGCCCAAGACGGCCCAAGAGGCTTTCCGACGGCCCAAGACGGCCCAAGAGGCCCCGAAGATCGCCCAAGAGGCTTCCAAGATGGCCCCATGACGGCCCAAGAGGCCCCCACGACGGCCCCAAGAGGGCCCGAAGACGGCCCAAGAGGCCTCCAAGACACCCACGATGGCCTCCAAGACGCCCAAGATGGCCTCCAAGACGGCCCCGAAGCGCCCCAAGAGGGCCCCAAGTCGGCCCAGAAAGGCCCCCAAGACGGCTCCCGACGGCGTCAGACGTGCCAGGAACCCACCAAGATGGCCGAAGTTGGCTCGAAGCTGGCCCAAGACGTCCCAAGAGGCCCCCAAGAGGGCCTCCAGGAAGGCTAGAAGAAGCCAAAAGCATTAATTGTCTTAAAGGTGTTTCACGTTTTGACATTTACTTCGTTTCGGCCTTCCGACAGCCCGATACGGCCCAAGAGCCCCCAAAGATCGCCGAAAGATCGCCCAAGAGGTCTCCAAGATGGCCCCAATACGGCCCAAGAGGGCTCCAAGAGGCCCCCAAGACGGCACAGGAGGCCTTTAAGACGCCCAAGATGGCCTCCAAGACGGCCCTGGAGCATTCCAAGAGGGCCCCAAATCGGCCCATAGAGGCCCCCCAAGCGACTTCCGACGGCGTCAGACGGACCAGGAGCCCACCAAAACGGCCGAACATGGCCCTAAGATGGCCCAAGACAGCCCAAGAAGCCTCCAAGAGGGCCTCCAGGAAGGCCCGAAACGGCCAAAATCATTGATTTCCATTGGTGTTTGAAGGATTGTGGCATTTGCTTCTTTTCGGCCTTCAGACGGCCCGAGACGGCCCAAGTGCCCCCAAAGATCGCCCAAGAGGCCCAAGATACGGCCCCAACAGGCCCCCAAAACGGCCCAAGAGGTCTCCACGACGCTCAAGATGGCCTCCAAGACGGCTCAAGAGCCCTCCAAGACGTCCTCCAAGAAGGCCCGAAAGGGTCAAAATGGCCTCCAGGTGGCCAAGATGACCTTCAAGATGCCCACGTGTTCCCCGAAGGCTTTCCAAACCGATTCGGGGAACACGTGGTCCGATAGCTTAGCAGGTCTGGCCTCAACGTTCGGCCACATAGGCGCTTCCAAAAAGGCAGGGGGCGGCGGTGATTCGCAGTAGGCATCTTCGATCCGCCGCCCCCTGTTGATTCATCACAAGGGTGCCTGGTGTGCTAGACGATTTCGGTTTTGGTTTCCGGCTCATTTTCCCAAAGAACTCCCCCTGGGGCTTCGGCCCGTCCCGCCGGCCACCCGGAAAGGAGCTCAATTGCACAATTTGTCCTCCAAGACGGCTCAAGATGGCCTCCATGATGGCCACGTTGGTCCATGATGGCCACGTTGGCCTAAGAAAGATGGCCTTCGAGATGGTCCGATATGGCCTCCAAGTCCGCCCAAGATGGCCTCCAAGACGGCCCAAGAGAGTCCAAGATACCTCCAAGTTCGTCCAAGAAGTCTCCAAAACGGCCCAACACGACCCAAGAGGCCTCCGCGAGGTCCTCCAGGAGGGCCCGAAGAGGTAAAAATCAGCTGCGTTTCCCCTAGATGTTTGAAGGAGTTTGACAGTGGCGCCTTTTCGGCTTTTCGTCGGCACGAGACAGGCCAAGACGCCCTCTTAGGTCGGCCCCAGATCGCCCAAGAAGCCTCCAAGATGGCCTCAGGACTGCCCAAGAGGTCCCCACGACGGCCCCAAGAACGCCCCAAGACGGCCCAAGAGGCCTCCAAGACGCCCAAGATGGCATCTAAGACGGCCCTGGAGCACCCCAAGAGGGCCCCAAGTCGGCCCAAAGAGGCCCCCAAGGCGGCTTCCGACGGCGTCAGCCGAGCCAGGAACCCAGCAAGATGGCCGAAGTTCGCTCAAAGCTGGCCCAAGACGACCCAAGAGGCCTCCAAGAGGGCCTCCAGGAAGGTCAGCAGAGGCCAAAATCATTGGTGCTCCATGGTTTTTGAGGGCATTTGGCAGTTGCTTCTTTTCGGCCTTCCGACGGCCCGAGATGGCCCAAGAGCCCCCAAAGATCACCAGAGGCCTCCAAGATGGCCCCAGAACGGCCCAGAAGGCCCCCAAGACGGCCCCAAGAGGCCCCCAAGACGGCCCAGGAGGCCTCTAAGACGCCCAAGATGGCCTCCAAGACGGCCCTGGAGTATTCCAAGATGGCCCAACATCGGCACAGAGAGGCCCCCAAACGGCGTCCGACGGCGCCAGACGGACCAGGCTGCCCAAGAGGCCCAGAGGCCGCCAATACGGCCCAAGAGGCCTCCAAGAGGTCCTCCAGGAAGGCCCGACGAGGCAAACATCATGGATGTTCCTTTGGTTTTTGAAGGGTTGTGGCATTTGCTTTTTTTCGGCCTTCTGACGGCCCGAGATGCCCGAGAGCCCCAAACGATCACCCAAGAGGTCTCCAGTATGGCCCCAGAACAGCCCAAAAGGTCCCCAAGACGGCCCCAAGACGGCCCAAGAGGCCACCAAGACGCCCAAGATGGCCTCCAAGACGGCGCTGGAGCACCCCAAGAGGGCCACAAGACGGCCCAGAGGGGCCCCCCAAGACGGCTCCCGACGGCGTCAGACGGACCAGGAGCCCACCAAGACAGCTAAAGAGACCCCCGAGAAGCCCCCAAGACGGCCAAAGAGCCCACCAAGACGGCCAAGAGATCCAAGAGGCTCCCAGGAAGCTCTCAGGAGGCCCCAAGAGTGTCTCCAGAGGCTCCCAAGATGCCCCCTCCTCCTCCTCCTCCTCCTCATCCTCCTCCTCCTCCTCCTCCACCTCCTCCTCCGCATCCTCTTGATCTTCCCCGCCATCCTCCCCCAAGTGTTCCCCGAAGGGTTTCCACAACGGTTGGGGGAACACATGGCCCGATATCTTGGCAGAGCTCTTGCCACAGCGCTCGGCCACATAAGCGATTCTAGAAGGCGGGGGGCGGCGGTGATTCACCGTAGGCGTCTCCGATATGGTGTGCCAACCTTAAGCCAACATGGCTGCGAAACCCTGCGACTCTAAGGCCAGGGTGGGCTACACACAACAACTCGTGTCGAACAGCTCGGGGGATGTATCGGGTGCTGCGGCGGTTCGAGTGCTCTGCAGATCGCCCCGAGACGGCCCTGGAGCGTGCAGCCCGTGCCCCGAGGCTGCTTGGCCCCCTCCTCCGGCACGCCCTCTTCCAGGGCCTCCCCAGAGGACATACCCTGGGGCCGCCCAACATGACGCGGTCCAGCGAGTGGGTCAGGAGAGACCCCGGCGCGAGAGATCGGACCCCCCAGCCGCCGAGCTCGGCATGGACTTCTTGGGAGATCCGACAGGCGGCCGTGCTGCCGCCCACCGCGCACCGGCTCGTGCGCGCGGCCGGCAGGCCTCTTCCTCCTCCTCCTCCTCCTTGTCCTCCTCCTCCCCCCGCCTCCTCCTCCTCCTCCTTCGTCCTCCTCCTCCCCCTCCTCCTCCTCCTTCGTCCTCCTTCGTCCTCCTCCTCCTCCTTGTCCTCCTCTTCCTCCTCCTACTCCTCCTCCTCCTCCTCCTCCTCCTCCTCCTCCTCCTCCTCCTCCTCCTCCTCCTCCCCCTTCCTCCTCCTCCCCCTCCTCCCCCTCCTCCCCCTTCCTCCCCCGCCGAGCGCAGGAGCCGCCACGAGGCCCAGACGACCCGAAGAGAACCTCGGGGGAGGAAGGAACGCCGCGCCCCCTCGCTCTGGCTCTGGGCCCGCGCGCGGGGGGCTCGAGGATCGAGGCTCGAGGATCCCAGGAGGCTCGAGACTCGAATTCGACGCGTTAGGATGCTTCTGGCCGTTGTTTTGTTGAGGGCACGCGGGAGGGCGCGAGGGCGGGAGGAGGAGGAGGAGGAGGAGGAGGAGGAGGAGGAGAATGCCGAGAAAAAGGAGGAGGACGACGAGGAGGAGGAAGAGGAGGATGACGAGGAGGACGAGGACGGGGAGGACGAGGAAGAGGAGGAGGAGGAGGAAGAAGAGGAGGACCATTATGAACCCAAGAGGAATCAAAGATGTTGGAACAAACCCTCCCTCCAAGCTCCCTCTGCATAGACTCCTTACAACAGTTTACTATTACTGAAGGAACTGCCTCGTTGGAAGACAACTGTTTGAAGTCCCTGAAGCATGCCAAAACATTGTTCTAGGGATTCCAACGCCACGGATCAACCTGACTGTTGCGTCTTGACGATCCTGAATCGTGCGAGAACGCCATTCCTGGGACTTGAACACCGCGAATCAACATACTTTGTGCACCCACATAAACCTGACTCCTTCCAAAACATCATTTCTGATACGTTGATCATGCGACTCCGTGACTCTTGCAAATCTTTGAAACGAATGTGCGGGGCGCTCAGGCGAGAGCCACATTTTGAAAAGGAGCCGCCATCAATCGGTGAAGCTCTTACATTTTTTATCGACTGTGCGCTGCGCCCAGGAGGGAGCCACATTTTGAAAACCACTCGCCCTCACTCCGTGAAACTCTTGCAAATGTTTAAAGAACGAACGTGCGCGGCGCTAAAGCGAGAACCACAGTTTGAAAACTACTCGCCCACAATCCGTGAAACACTTGCAATTGTATGAAACGAACTTGCGCGGCGCTCAGGCGAGAACCACATTTTGAAAACCGCTCGCCCTCAATCCGTGAAATCTGTGCATAAAAAACGAATGTGCGCGGCACTAAAGCGAGAGCCACATTTTGAAAACCACTCGCCCTCAATCCGTTAAGCTCTTACAAATGTTTAAATCGGCGGTGGGCAAACCTCCCTTGAATAAAACACCCTTTAGTGAAAACGGCCTAGGACCGAAACCAACGGACCTGGACCCGCAAAAATGACGGCCGCGACGCCCTCTCGCGAACCGAAAACGGTCAATTCGCTAATCGACGTGTCAGGGTAGAAGGTCTATCAACTTCCGATTGCAACGAGTGTGCGCGGCGCTGAGGCGAGAGCCAGATTTTGAAGACCACCCGCCCTCCATCTGTGAAGCTGTTGTCAGTTTTCAAGCTTCAGAGGCATTCGTGGTGAGGAAGTCTCAGGCGAAACGCCCAGCCCGACCTAAAAACTGGCGTCGGGGTGCGACAGGGACAAATGATTCATAAGGAAAATCAATGGAGGAGGGGGAGGTGGCCGAGGAGGAGGAGGAGGAGGAGGAGGAGGAGGAAGAGGAGGAGGCCGAGGAGGAGGAGGAGGAGGAGGAGGAGGAGGAGGAGGAGGAGGAGGAGGAGGAGGCGGAGGAGCGACGCGGCGCGGCGGCGCCGCCGCAGCGGCGGCGCGCGCGCCCGGCTGCGCCGCCGCAGCCGCGGGCCGGCGCCGCCGCGCGGCCTTCGCCAGGCTGCAGGGCCCCGCCGCCGGCGGGGCCCCGCGCGCGCGGGCCCGCTGGCGGCCCGCGCGGGCGCGCGCCGGCGCCGGCGAGCGGGCCGGCCCCGCGGGGCGCTCCGCGGGGCGAGCGCGCGGCGCGGCGCGGCGGGGAGGCGCCGGCGCCCGCGCGGGGCCCTCGGGGCGCGGGGCCGCGCCGGCGGCGGCGAGGCCCTCGAGGGCGCCGCCTGGCGCGGCGGGGCGGCACGGGTCGGGCGCGGGCGCGCGCGGGGGCGCGCCTCGGGGTCTGGGCGCCCGAGTTTTAACCCCGGATGCCTGCGGTGCGGGGGATAGCGCTGGCTTGGGCCCCCGAGGCGCGAGTCCCGCGGCCACCCCTGGCTGCCCCCCGCCCCGATGACTCGGGGCTCTGACGGGATGTGCGCACCGGGTCGGATCGAACCAGAAGCCTATATCGGCGGCGAGCCAGGGGGGAAGTGAGAAGGGGTGGGCCTTCTCGAAATGCTCGGAAGTTCCACGGCCTCCCACCACGTTTTCTAAGCCTTCCCCGAAGATGTAGAACACCTCTCAGAAGGCGCGATGTCTTCTGAGAAGCCCCGCCGCCTTCTGAGAAGGCCTTCTCCTTCTCACTTCCCCCCGGTGCGCCTCCGAGCGAGGAGGGTTTTGTTTTCCGGTCATATCCGGGCCTCGGGCGGCCGTTCGGGACGACCTGGGCGCCCCTGGAACGCTCTCGGCGAGGCGCAGCCGCTGGAACGCATCCCGAGGGCGGAGGACCGCAGAGAGACCGCGGCGGAACGCCCGAAAACCTCGAAGCTCGAACCTCGAACTTCCTCCCCTCGCGCTCCGCCAACTGTATGGCATCGCTTCGCGTCGAGCCGGAGGGGTCGACGAGCGCCCCGCGAGGGGTCGCGCGTCGGCGGCGCGGTGCGCGCGCCTCGGCGCCGGCCCTGGCGGCAGGCGGCGAGCGGCGCGGCGAAGGCGGGGCGGGCGCCCTGGCGGCGCCGGCGCCGTCGCCGCCGCCGTCGCCGTCGCCGTCGTCGTCGTCGTCGTCGCTGGCGCCATCGTCTTCGTCGTCGTCGTCGTCGTCGTCGTCGTCGTCGTCGTCGTCGTCGTCGTCAGTCGCCGTCGTAGTCGTCGTCGTCCCCCGAAGGTGTAGCGCAGCGCGCCGCGGCCACAAGGGAACCACCGGCGGGCGCCCCGCGCCCGAGGCGCTGCGGCCCCCCCCCGAGGAGGAGGAGGAGCAGGAGGAGGAGGAGGCAGATGATGATGATGATGATGATGATGATGATGATGATGATGATGATGATGCTGATGATGATGATGATGATGATGATGATGATGATGATGATGATGATGATGATGATGACGATGATGATGATGATGCTGCTGCTGCTGCTGCTGCTGATGATGATGATGATGATGATGTTGATGATGATGATGATGATGATGATTGGAGATGATGATGGGAGGATGATGATGATGATGAGATGATGATGAAGATCATGACTGAGAAGAGGGAGGAGGAGGAGGGAGCAGGAGGAGAGAGGAAGAGGAGGAGGCAGGGAGAGGGAGTAGGAGGAGGAGAGGAGAGAGGAGGAGAGGAAGAGGAAGGAGAGGAGGAGGGGAAGGAGGAGGAGAGAGGAGAGGGGAGGAGGAGTAGGGAGGAGGTAGGAGTAGGATAGGAGTCGGAGGAGGAGGGAGGAGGAGAGGTGCTACGCCCCCCTCCTCCCCCCCCACCCCCCCAAAGGCGGTGCGGCGACGGGCCGCGCGGCGAGCCCAGGAGGCCGCACGGCCTTGTGGACCCTGGGGGGCCCCGCCGCCCGAAGTGCCGAACCCCCAGGGGCTCGCCGCGCGGGGAGGGCGTCGGAGCCTCGAGCCGCTCGTCCCGAACCTGCTCCTGCTCCTGCTCCTGTTCCTGCTCCTGCTCCTGCTGCTGCTCCTGCTCCTGCTCCCCCCTCCTCCTCCTCCTCTCCTCTTCCCCTCCTCTCCTCCTCCTCCTCCTCCTCCTCCTCCTCTCCTCCTCCTCCTCCTCCTCCCCTCCCTCCTCCCTCCCCCTCCTCCTCCCTCTCCTCCTCCTCCTCCTCCTCCTCCTCCTCCTCCTCCTCCTCCTCCTCCTCCTCTGGTCGGGGAGGGCGGCTTCGGCCCCCTGGTGCAATTTAACATAGGCAAAAGGCCCAGAAGCAACCATGCCGTCCTGAACGTCTGGGTCGCTCGCCATCGCCGGCGGCCGCCGCCGACGTCGCTCGGCGCGGTCGCCACCATCGCCGTCGTTGCCGGCCGCCACCGTCGCCGTTGCTGTCCCGTCCCTCCGCCTGGAGGGGCTCGCCGGAGGCGAGCGGTACTCGTTTGTCGCGGGCTTGAAGGTGCACTCCTCGCGCCGGTGTCCAGCCGACAATCGACAGTCACCACCACCGCCGCCACCGCTGGGGCCAGGCATAGAAGGAGGCCCGCGCAATCACAGCCTGAGACTTCTTGGGCGACGCGGGAAAGAGTCCTTACGTTTACCCTCGCTCGACGGACGGGGTGGTGATCAATAATCCTCCCTCTAGGCGTCTGTTCACCCTCGTATGGCTTTTGCTCGCTCGGGCGAAAATGTAAATACCTACCTCCTCCTGCTCTTCCTCGTTCCATCCTTTCCCTCCTCCTTATGCAAACCCCCTCACAGTCGTGCTCTTCTG